TGGCCGCTCCCGGCCACCACAGCCTTGACCTGCTGGGCTCTGGCGATCCTTCCGCCTCAGCCTTCCGAGTAGCCGGAATTACAGGCGCGTGCTACCACGCCAGGCTGATTTTTGATTTATTGTAGAGATGAGGTCTCGCCAAGTTGCCCAGGCGGGTCTCGAACCCACGGGCTCAGGCAATTCACTCACCTCAGCCTCCCAAAGGCACGGGATTACAGGCTGAGCCACCGAGCCTGGCGAGAAAACAGTTCTTATAAAGTCCCAAACAAAACAAATTCAGCCTTCCCTCAGTTCACATGGTAGTTGCATTCCAAAATATTCAGTGCATATTAAAACTGCAAAAATGACTGAGCACTGTGGCTCAAGTCTGTAATCCCAGCACTTTGGGAGGCTGAGGCAGCAGGATCGCTTGAGCCCAAGAAATCGAGACCAGTCTGAGCAACATAGTGAGACCTCATCTCTACAAAAATTTAGCCAGGTGTGGTGGTACACATCTGTAGTCATAGCTACTCTGAAGTCTGAGGCAGGAGGATCACTTGAGCCAACGTATTTGAAGCTGCTGTGAGCTATGATCTCACCACTGCACTCCAGACTGGGTAGTAGAGTGAGATCCTGTTGCAAAAACAAACAAACGAAACTGCAAAAAAAGATTTCATGTTTATATATAAAATGGGAGTGGGGGAAGGTGTGGGGCCAGCAGTACTTCCCTATGTGGAACTGTCCTATGTATTTCCTTCAGGGACATCCCTGGATCCCACCTGTGATCCCCCCACAAATTTCCACATCACAAATTTCCACATCACCCCTAGGGGGCAGTAGCATCTGGATAATCTTCACGTTCCCTCCCATCTCTAAAACTCCCTAATTCTGGGCCTCATCCTGTTTAATTCAACAAACATTTGTGAGTGCCCACTTTATGCCTGGCCTCGGGCATCAGACAGTGAACAAGCAGCTGTAGCCTCTGGCCCCCTCCAGCCAAGTTTAAATCTGGAAGGCCCTTAGCCATCTCCCTTCCATTTTAAAGAGGAGGAGGTGCAGGACCAGAGAGGGCAGGCTTATATTTTGGGTCACACAGCCTGTCAGTGGATACCAACCAGAGCCCTACCCTCAGGAGGCCCCACGTGGTGGGTCCACAGCCTCTCTCCACTCATCTTCTACTCTCCTCCACCCCCCCAGTGCCAGCCGCGCTGACCCTGGACCCAGGTACCGCCCACCAGCGCCTGATCCTGTCAGATGACTGCACCATCGTGGCTTACGGCAACCTGCACCCACAGCCTCTGCAGGACTCGCCAAAACGCTTCGACGTGGAGGTGTCCGTGCTGGGCTCTGAAGCCTTCAGCAGTGGCGTCCACTACTGGGAGGTGGTGGTGGCGGAGAAGACCCAGTGGGTGATCGGGCTGGCGCATGAAGCTGCAAGCCGCAAGGGCAGCATCCAGATCCAGCCCAGCCGTGGCTTCTACTGCATTGTCATGCACGACGGCAACCAGTACAGTGCCTGCACAGAGCCCTGGACGCGGCTCAACGTCCGGGACAAGCTCGACAAGGTGGGTGTCTTCCTGGACTACGACCAAGGCTTGCTCATCTTCTACAATGCCGACGACATGTCCTGGCTCTATACCTTCCGCGAGAAGTTCCCCGGCAAGCTCTGCTCCTACTTCAGCCCAGGCCAGAGCCACGCCAATGGCAAGAACGTTCAGCCACTGCGGATCAACACTGTCCGCATCTAGACCAGGCCGGGGGAGACCACGGCCTCCTGGGACCACTGCCACCAGCAAGGGCCATGCCCAGGCAGCAGGAGACCTGGACTCCAGCCCACCTTGGCCACTCGAGACCCAGGCCAGTTATTGACCCTTCTACCTCCATTTCTCTGTCTGTAAAATGGAGGTTGTGTTCCATGATTCTTAAATCTCTTCCAGCATTGATGTTCTGTAGCTCTGACCTTGATGGGGACACAGCTTTGGTCCAAGAATGTGACATGGCTTCTCCTCAGGGCACCCCCTGCCCAACCTCATCCCCATCCTTTCAAGGGCAGGGTACTACCTCCCTATGTCTCCCTCCTGCCCAGCTGCCCTGGCCTCAAGAAGCATCAGAGTGTGGCCAGAGTTGGCAGCCCAAAAAATCACACAGAACCCTCTTATGCCCCGTGGTCCAAGACTTGCTCCTGACCAAGTTAGTGATGGGCCATTTTACCCTTGACCCCAGTCCACAGTGGTCACAGCAATAGCTGGTCCCAGAGCTGTCTGAAAGACACCCTTTCCAGCCACCCCTATACCAAGAACTTTATCGATCCTGCTTTTCCCATGGATGCTGGGATCTGTGGAAGACCCCTGGTTGTTGAGCCCACATGTCACAGTCACTGTGTCACCACTTCCTGCCCACAGGCCGAAGAATGAGGGCACACCTGAAGCTGATGCCGAGCCTATTAGCCTAAGGACACCTGCAGAACAAGCCTCACTGGATGATCGAGGTTCCCAGCAGCTCTAAACAAAGGCCCAGGGAGCCCTCCTCAGCCAAGCATTTGTGACCTGCTAGGGTTTGAGGAGCCTACTGGGAACAGCTATTATAATTAGGACCTGAGCACTGGGAGGGGCTGTTGGCTGGGACCCCTCATCAGACTTGATATCTCAGTTCGGATCCTGTTGCAGAAAACAAGAGCCACTTTAACTGGTTTAATTAGACAAGGATTTATTACCTGGTCCCTAGTGGCCTGCAAAATTGTTGGAAGGGCCGGGAGAGCAGACTTTGCTGAATTTCCAGGAACAGCTCCCAGCGCGCCAGAGTCATCATGTCTGCTGAGACCAGGAAAGCTGCTCCCATCTGCCAGAAGCCACTGCACTGGAAAGCTGCTGACTGCGGAACCGTGCTCCCTCTGCCACTGTCCATGCCAGCAAGTGGGTGTCCTGAGGCCAGCCTCTCTCCCACGTCACTCAGTTCCCAAATCCACATCTCTACGAGAGATTCTGTTTAGGGAAACTTAAAGTCAGATCCAGTCTTGGCTGCAAAAGCGTCTGAGAAAAGTAGTTTTCATCTTTCCAGCCTCAATCACACAAAAAGCCACACTAGATGGAGGTTAGGATGGATCCAACCATGAAGAAATCAGGAGAGGCTGGGGTTCACTAGACCTTGGCTTTGAAGCAGCAGAGCCTTGAGGTGTCCTTCCTGTGACTCTCTCCCTGCCCAGAGGCAGGAACTCGGGGAATGGGCTACAAGACTGAGCCGAAAATGGCTCCCTGACCTTGGCTTTTCTGTCTAGTCCCGGGGCCCGGATTCTGAACTTGGGGTCTCTGAACATACCATCCCAGAGGAGCCAGAAGAGCTAATCTTGAGGGTTCTCACTCACAAATGCTGCCTACAGGGGCCTCCCCTGGGCAGAAAGAATCCTCAGCAGTATCCCACCTCTCCAACTAGCAGAATCTGGGCCACCCAGCAGTATTTTTATTTAAAATGTTGCCCATTTTGTGAGTTATGATAAATTTGTATTAAATTAAAGTTACAGGATGTCCGTAGGCAGTTCTATTCATTTTGACAAACACAAAACCCAGGCAGTGTACATCTGTTGAGTGTGGCAAATCCACAAAGCAACCTTCTGGGTAATTAGCATTACACTTGTTTGACAGAGGAGAAAAAGAAGGTGCAGAGTGAGGACATGACTTGTCAGAGCCTTGAGTCCCACACTAGTAAGTGATGGAGCTTGTGAGTCCTAGGCCCACACGCACACCACAACCCTGCCCAGAAACTTACCAGCCAAGGCTGTGAGTCTTTTCCTGGAGGAAAGGTGGTGGGGACCTTGGGAGTGGGCAGAGGGGAGCTGGTGGGACAGTAGCAAGAGCCTCATCTCTGGAACCACGCAGACCTGGACTCGAATCCAGGCTCCATCACTGTGTGACTTTAGAAAAATGACTTAACCCTCTCTAAACCTTTATTTTCCCTCATGGAAAATGGGGATAATAACATCAATTTCACCTGATGTTCGTAAAGTGCAGTGCACATGGGGAAGCCCTGTCTCTCCCTCCCTCCAGCTGCCTCCTGGAGTGTGGGTGGCTCTGACCCTAAGGAGTCTGTCTTCCTCCTTGTGCTCTATGAGAGGTATGGGACCACCTATGCTAGGACAGCCCCCTAAGTCCATCCCACCTCTGACTGAGGGGGAAGCAGCCTGGCTAGGAGTCAGGCCGGGCCCTGCACGTAGACACAGAGGCTGTGCACATGGTGAGTCGGAGGCCACTGGGCCCTCTGCAGCTGGGCAGTGAGCACAGCAGCCTTGGAGACAGGAGTCCTGGGCCCAGTCTTTTCCTTGACTAATTTCCACCCTAAAGGTCCATTCCTGTCTCCTCACCTGCAGAATGAAGGAGGTTAGACTGGGTTCTCTGTGAAGACCAGGTTGATCATCTATAGCCTGGAGGTAGGGAAAGAGGAGAGGACCACCCAAGTCTTTGACTCGCTTAGGTTTCTAGGAAGAGGAACTTGAATAAGGATCAGGAGGGGCTGTCAGCGGGGTGGGTGGAGGGATCTCTGACTGATGGAGAGCAGCCCGCTTTACAGCAAAGTTACGGGGATGATTCTGAGACTAGTGTAGCTCCAAATCCCCTCATTCTCTCAGATTCCTGTGACTTCCCCAAAACCATGCTCTCCCATGTTTGCTCAGTGGATCTGGCTTTGATCTGCCTTCTCCCTCTGGGGAAGGAGCACCCCCGCAATGACCCTTCCTGCCCTTTCCCCACTCCTCCTCAGCACCAGCCCCAAGAAATACTGGCCACTGCTCAGGCCTCAGTCCCAGCTTCCAAGTGTGTGGGAGTAGCTTAGGGTCCAATTTACATCTCACTCGGGGACTCCAGAAAATTCAGTTGCCTCCAGGAGATATATTTGCATGCATGTCCAGAGAATTCCTGAATGAAAGAGTCTGAGGTTGTCAGGGTGATACCAGGAACTCCACACTTAATACAAGTACTGAAGAGGGCAGAAAAGACAGGCTAGCCTTGGGTAGGAAGGAGAGATCACCAAAGATCTCACCCTGGGTAGGAAAAAACTGATAGAGTGGCAATAACCCCACTCGGAGTCCACATCTGTAGTCAGCAAGCAACATGCTGGTACTCCTTACACCTTATCTAACCACTGAGAGAAGCCCATGAGGCTGGTATCATGATCTCAGTGTTTGAGCAGGGAAATGTTACTTCCCAGAGGAACGGCAGCCAGTACTCAGCAGAGCTGGAACTCACACCAGGGCCATCCAACGTGAAAGACAAACCCTTGACTGGATCGCTCTGAAAAAGCTTCTCAACTTTGAGGACTATTTCAATGACAGGCAGCAGCCACCAGAACTGGGATGCCCCTGGGCTTCAAAGTAGGAGCTTAAACCAGGCTCCATGCCATTGTGGAATTGTGAGTCAAGTCTCAATTGCGAGCCAAACTTCATGTGTCTCCTGGGGTCATGGGTGGACTTATAAAGGCCCTATGTGACCTTGAGCAGGTCTCTCCCCTTCCCTGGTCCTCAATTTTCCATCTTTATTGGGGAGAGGTTAGGGATCTAGCTGACTGATTGCCAGGGCCGTAACCCTGATTACAGAATTCTGTAAATCTAATGTTGGGTCCCACATTTGCCCTGCTCAGCACCTAATAAGGCCATTAGCTCTGAATCCTTCTCTCTGGGGTGGCAGCAGGGACAAAAAACAACAGAAATAAGGTCTCTTGGCAGCACAGAACTCGACTCGGGGACTCTGGGGATAGGGCCTTCCCTCCTGCCAGGGAGGCCATCTCAGGAGGCTGACTGCTCACACCTGGGCAGCACTGCCTGCTTCCTCCCCTCCTGTCTGGGCCCCAGCTCCGTTTACCAACCTCAAGCATGCCACCAGGGGATCAGTTGCAAAGGCCCACATTACAGGCTGCAGGGGGCTAGGAAGAAGGTGGGAGGTGGGAGAGGAAGGTGGAGGGCTAACCAAGGTGCTGAATTATCACTGCCCACCAGGACATGATTATTTCTCCTTATTCTGGGACACTGTTGATTCCACCCAATCTCCCTGGAATCCTGAACTACAAAAGGGAAGAAGAGGTGATGGGAAGCAGAGAAGGAACAGAGAGAGCGAGAGAAAGAAAGAGATGGATCTGGAGGTAAAAGAGAGAGAAAAATGCAGTCAGGAGGTACAGCCTCCAAAACATAGCAGGAGGAGGGAATACTTTCATTTAAAACTGTGTTCATTAGGCCAGGCTTGGTGACTCAGCCTGTAACCCCAGTACTTTGGGAGGCTGAGGCAAGTGGATTGCCTGAGCCTGAGGGTTCGAGACCAGCCCGGGCAATTTGGCGAGACCTCATCTCTATGATAAATCAAAAAATTAGCCTGGCGTGGTAGCATGCGCCTGTAGTTTTGGCTACTTGGAAGGCTGAGGCGGAAGGATCGCCAGAACCCAGCAGGTTGACGCTGAGGTGGCCGTGAGTGTGCCACTGCACTCCAGCCTGGACAATAAATTGAGACTCCAACTCAAAAAAATTTTTAAAGTGTTCATTTTTCTTTGTTTTTCTTCTTTATCTTGATGAAAAGTATTTATTTTTTAACCCTAAATATGGAATAAAACAGTCTTCTGTCTGCTTCAAAATGATGACAGTTCTATTGTATTTCTGTTACAGAACGCTCCCTTCTCCCCCTAGGAATTAATCAAAGTGGGGGAAGGTTTGCAACATTGGACCAGAAGCCAGGGGCCTTCTACTCTGATGTTATGACAAGGGAGGGCCTTTCAGGAGGCTGGAGTCAGAGGCACAAAGCCCCAGGTCCTGGTGAGTTCCCCAAAACTGTGGGACTAGATGTGATCAAGTCCAAATGCTTGAGGGCCCTAGATGATCCTCCAGGCCAAGCTAGTTTCTAGCTCCAAGTCACACAGCACACAGCAGAACTAAGGCCAGAACTCACAACATAGCAGGAGAGCAGGAAATACTTTCATTTAAAAATGGTTCATTTTCCTTTGTCTTTTTTATCTTGGAAAAAAAAGTGTTTCATCAAGATAAAAAAGAAACCCAAGCCGGGCTCGGTGGCTCAGCCTGTGATCCCGCGCCTTTGGGAGGCCGAGGTGAGTGGATTGCCTGAACCCGCGGGTTCGAGACCCGCCTGGGCAGCGAGACCTCATCTCTACAATAAATTAAAAATCAGCCGGGCGTGGAAACGCACGCCTGTAATTCCGGCTACTCGGAAGGCTGAGGCGGAAGGATCGCCGGAGCCCAGCAGGTCGAGGCTGCGGTGGCCGG